AGCTTCTAGGGTTTGTATTAAGTTTTCCTTTCCATATTTTTTTCTTTTTGTAAATTCTTTCTTCTTCTCCTCTTGCTTCTTTGTTTTCATTTTAATTGTGTACTAAAACAGAAAAATCCAATTAACGGCATAGACAGTCGCTAATTATCAGCACTATGCTGATAATTAGCAATACTCGTATCAGCACCATGCTAATATTTGGAAAACGGTATTTAATTAATAAATAAATGGACGGAAATCAGTTAACAGCAATCATAGAGCATAAAATCAAATAAAAATATAATATTTTTTTCCTACTTATCAAACCCAATTATCCGCATGGGTGCTGATAATAGGAAAAACCTACAAAATAGGAACCATATGCTAGCACCCGACATTTTTTGATTAATCGACAACTTAATCTAAAAATATATTTAAATTTATGTAGACAAATCACTCTCGAAATCCTCGAAACCAAAATAACACAAATATAATAAAACCTTTTCATGGTTTAAGAAGATAATAAATCAAAAGAACTTACCGTCACCCAAACAAAATGGCCGAAATTTTCTACCTTACACACACCGGTAACTACTTATTTATTGCAATCGTCACGCCATCTTATTTTTTTAAATGTTGCTAGCTTACATAATAATTTGATAAATTTAAATCCGATTTTTTTTCACGTGGCAATTTGAATTCAACGACAACTCTTAAAATTCCTATTTTTTTTGTGCAGTGCTGATAATTGGTGCAGTGCTACGAATTAGATACTTTATATCTTCATTGATATAACGATGTAATATCGTTAATAATCTGTCAAAGATTGTGACACATGCTTTACATATTTTATATAATATGTGATGAGCACTCTTTCTCTAACTAACTTAATGATACTGCTTGATAACTGCTGTGGTGGCTTGTAAGAGGTGCTATAACGGAGCGCTAGTACAGTGTACAAGTAAATCTCTAACTGATATTTTTATACGTGGTAGAGCCATGCTGCAGCTATATTATGGTTGTAGCACGAATGGGTCGGTTCGACCGGGGAAGGACCACGCTCTCACAGAATACCAGCGTAAAATAGCAGCTTAACGCTGCTGTGTTTCGTTTGGTGAGTGTAGAGAAACTGGAAACGAAGCACTCCATCTTAGTCCTCACGGGTGACAACGCATCTTCATTTTGATTCTTAATCGAAGATAGATGTAGATGTCTATGGGCCACAGCAACCACTTACCATCAGGTGGACTGTGTGCTCGTTTGTCACCCTTATCCTATAAAAAAAAAGACGGATAATATAGGCATAATGTTACCGATACCTATAACGCAACCAAAAATATTGTTCTATGAAAATGATATTCTTTAACGTTAATAATAATTTTGGGTTTTATTATAGTTACAAACTTTGGAACGTTATGAGATAACATTTAGTGTAACGAAACGAAATACATTTCATTTTCAAGTCCCTACAAATTATAACTAACAAAGAAACATTATCCTTTACACTTTTCTAACAATTTAAGTTCCCCGCCATGGGATCTGTCAAATTTGGACTCCAAAGTGGCGCCGGCTTGATGACAGAAACAATTGTGAACGTCTTCTCGTCCATCTTCGTGGAATTTCGAATGGTTTGATCTGCATGACTCGTCTGCCAGTAGATTGTCGTAGCCGAATTTGTAAGGCCGAGGCAGTTATGCTACGTTCCGACGTTCAGTTAACCTGATGAACCGGTCTTCAAGGACAGTTGTGGCCCTAACTTTCCTGATCCAGAGGAAAACTTTCGGTATCCCAATAGCGTTCCTACACATTTCAAATATAGTCGCGACACATCAAAACGTACAGACAGATCTTTTAGACCGTCCCTCTTGAAAAATAGCACACCCACAGCCATATGATATCGAGAGCCAAGTATAGTGATAGGACTAATACCGAAATAAAATGACAGAATCAGACTTAGAACGCAAGTGACAGAATTTTGTGTTAAATAATTTTTCACATAACTTAATTTTAACATTGTTAAGAACATTGCTTAAAACAAGCTAACAAGCACGTTTAGTAAATGCTGCACTCGGAAATGATAATGAATTATTTATAAACCAAATTCGACATAAAATTGGTTTGTTTTAAATAGTATATTAAAAAAAAATGAAGCATTATGCTATAGTAGGTTTTAAACTCAAATATTTTTAGTTGTTCTTCTTTAAAAAGACAAGAATACCCCTGAATTCTTAATTAAATTTAATACCGTTAAATTTGTAAAATACCTTTGACCTCATTTCTCACATTGATTCCCAATTCCATACGCTACAAAGAAAATTTAATACAGCCTTGCATTATCTGAAAAAGGTTATGGAAGATGAGGTGACAGTAATTGATTCCCATTTAATTTCGATCCAAGCTTACCAAATGGAAGAAAACAAGTTATATATGCACCCTTGACCGCTTAAACACTACGAACAAAAAACTTAACAATACCAGCTTGATGTGATGTGATGTGATGTGAGGGTTTCACCTTGAATGTTACAGGGTAATTCCATTACACAGTCATATTAAGATGATCCACAATGTTGCGATGTAAAGCGCCTATCAATGCCAAAAGAGAATAAATCTGTATATCGGCGCAGCAGGAAAATATAAGTGATGTGTCACCGCATCACTTGAATATAAGCTCTATTTCAATAGTAAAAATAACGTTTTTAATTTATACCATTTTTATTGTAGAGCCATGCTGCAGCAATATTTGATTGTAAGACCAGAGAAGGACCACTTCCTCACAGAATACCTATGTAAGCTTTCTCCCCCTGCCCACCAGTTGTCGATTCTCCGAGCAATGTGGCTGTTATTTTGCCAATTCGGCCTGATCATCCGCTGAGCTTTCAAAGAAAAAATAATTTTATTATGCAAATTTCAAAATTATATTTATGTGGGTAGAGCCAAGCTGCAGCTTTATTATGGTTGTAGCACAAAATGGGTCAGCTCGACCGGGGAGGACCAGTACGTCTCACACGTCTCACAGAATACCAGCTTTAAATAGCAGCTTGCTGATTTAATGCTGCTGTGTTTCGTATGGTGAGTGTAAAGAATCGGAGATCTATAACGGTGGTAGAGCCACCCGGCAGTTTTGCTGTTGCACGTTTGGGGCGGCTCGAGCCGGGTTGGTACCATGACCTTACAGAATACCGGCGTACTACCCCAAGAGGATATAATATAGCTATAATATAGCTATATTATACCCTCAGCCTATAGCCCCAGCCATAATATAGCTGCAGCGTGGCTCTACCACGTATTACTCTGAGTTTGAGACTTGTTACACGATCACCTCAATTATCTTGACGCATAATTCCTGACTTACTAGACATAACCAAAACAATACGAACAAAATTTTCAGACAGAAAATGTGATCAAAAAGAAAGTACTGCACACGTGGTATTTTTGGCCTTCAAGAGATAGATCTTTTACGCCTTAAAATTTTACCACTCGGTAGTAGCGTTCCCTGTTTTGGCTCACATTCAGTAATATGTCGTAAAATAAACTCTTTTTTTTTTCAAAGACATCACAACACGTGCCATGAAATTCTGTGTAAAAAACTTTAACAGTGACGATATTTCTCTTTACAAATAGCTTTTATGTGTATGGTTTTATTTTTTGGTGTGTGTAATATTACATTGATAAAAAACGCCGCAACAAAAGGACGCATGCTTAGCTAGGACCTATTTTGTAACTAATTTGTGTCACTGCGCAAAGGCTATCTGAGCTTCATTCTCACTCTAAGTGTTTTTGATGACATACGCCGTCACTTATTCGTTATTTTTGTACTTAAAGCTGAGCTCAATTGAGACGACATAGATCTCGAACAATGGAGATGGAGGTGGAGCAATTTTGTATATTTAACTCATTTTGACCGTTTAGATGAGGTTCGCCCCTTTGCGGCGTAGACGACGAATTGTATGCAATGAAACAACGCTTTGTATTTAGCCAATATTTAACAAACGTTAAAGATCTTAGATAATGACTATTATGTGATTTACGTATGTTACATTTTGTAACCACAATGCATATAAACGATAAAAAGAACATTTTTGTATATTTTTCACCACTGAACTTAATCGGCAGTCCGATCACGAACTGACAGTAACTCATTCTGTCGCCGTCCGTAGTAGTAAATTTAGGCGTAATATTGCTTTAAAACAAATGTCTTAATGTTAAGACATATTAAAAAGGTCGTTTTATACTCGATCTATTGACAAAAACCTATAAAGAAAGTAACCAAACCCATATTCTATACTCTATAACAAGTACATCCCACTGCCGGGCACAGATGCCTTCTCTCTTTTCCGGTTTAAAGCATGGAAGTGGCGGCATCCCAATGTGTCACGGGCGGACGTAAGACGTCTTCGAAATATTTTTAATTTCCCGGTCATGCAGCTATTCTCCTCACTCTCTCTCTTTGCTGTTATCTTTCACTACTTAGTATCATCATCATTATCATCATCGTATAAGCATCAGAGATAATAATAAGCGGTCCGCCAGAACGAGTACGAATATCTTCATAGTGGGAGACAGCCACTCTAGTTCCTTATTCCTCCATTGGTGGAATATTTCTCCATAGGGAATATGTAATCAATAGTACTAAAGCCTTTTCGGAAACCGGCTTGTTCGAAAGGCTGAAATCTTCAAATCTACGTGCAAGACGATTCGTAATGACTTCAAAAAAAAATCAATTTTAATTGCAAATAACAAATATTCGACCTGTAGTATCAGCGTGAGAGAATCGCTATTTATGGAAAATATTCTATCTATAGAATGGTAGAGGTCTATGTTCAGTAGTGAACTTTAATAGGTCGAAATGAATAAATCAAAAAATAAAAAATAAAAAAATATATTATATTCCAAATATTTCATTCAGGATAATATTATCCTGCCTTTGTGTTTTATGTCCACTAATTTGTCTACAACTAAAATATTTGATGTTTTAAGAAATAAATGTTCTGCAATTCTATATAAACATGAAACATTTTCAGAATGGAGACCTGTGTATATCGATACTACACCCGCCAGTGGACGACCCGCAGTCGGGCGAGTTGCCTTGCGAACGCTGGAACCCTACGCAGTCAGTCCGCACGGTTCTCCTCTCCGTCATATCGCTGCTCAACGAACCTAACACCTTCAGTCCGGCGAACGTCGACGCTAGCGTTATGTATCGACGCTGGCGCGACTCCAAGGGCAAGGATAAGGAGTATGAAAACATTATTAGGTAAATAACACATTTGGAATACTATTGCTTGGAAGTTGATCTGTATTGTGTTATAGAACATCGAGTGAGAGGAAAATGAACGTTAATTCAAAAACTAATAAAAAAATCATTAGCCCGCATTTAGTATTATTATAGTACATGTTAGTAATACCACAGAATGAATAATAGTACTATGTAGTGATAGTGCAAACGTAGTTTTGTATCACATACATGCACCCGTTGTTATGGAAGGAATTTGGGATGTGCAAACTAGATTTAGAATGGGGTGGACGGATCGGGCCTTTTCTATGCTCGTAATTACAGGCAATTTTTTGACCATAAACCAAAAAAGATTTGTGTATTTTTGGACTTTGAAAAGGCTTACTTATAAGCTTATAACGGAGGGTGGTGGGACAGGGTTGCTTTATAGCAAACACTGACCTCGTTAGGGTTGAACGTTGGGCTTATCAACGCATAGGCAATAATCTCATTAGGAACTCTAGTGCTTGTGTCAGAATCAACGGGGTCTATATAGACTGGTATGCTTCCCCATAACTTCAATCTGTTTATTAACAGTGGTTTGGAAACTTTGAAAGTCAAAGAGTGTGGGTTAAGAATGGGTGGGTGAGTTAGTTGTGAAATGTCTCATGTGCACCGGTGATCAAGTCGCATTTGCGTTGTCGGCGAGCGAGTTACAAATGTTATACAATTGATTAACATATAATTAAAAGAAAGAACGCATGTAAAACGATATGTGAAATAAGAATGTATGTATTAAGTTATATCATATCCAGACCATTATATTATTTTAATTAAAATAATAACATATTCTATTCTAATTTACAGGAAACAGGCGCAGGTAGCGCGCATGGAAGCCGAAAAAGAAGGCATAGTTGTACCTCTCACACTAGAAGATTATTGTATTAAAACACAAGTCAAATCGACAACACAGGAACCACAGGTAAACATTAATTTACAACAGATCTTCTTCCCTTGGCACCGTGGTATCGCTAAAGAATAATAAAAAAAAAAGTCTAATTTATTTATATTAAGATTCTGTATGCTAAGGTGTTAATTGAAAGAGTTATGGAAGAAACTGATGGAAAAATTTGGGATGTGTAAGCTGGATTTAGAAAGGGGATGGGGTGTACGGATCAAGTCTTTTCCATGCGCATGATAGCGGAGAAGTTTTCGGCTAAAAACCAGAAAGTTTTTTGTGCGTTCATGGACTTGGAAAAGGCTTATGACAGAGTGGACAGGAATGTGTTATGGCAAACACTGAACTCATTTGGGTTGAGCGCTGGCTTGATACAGGCATTAAGATCTCTTTATAGGGACTCTAGTGCTTGTGTCAAGATCAACAGGGTCTACTCGGACTGGTTTGGCATTCATAAAGGTGTCAGACAGTGATGTGTGGCTTCCCCGTGGCTGTTTAACCTATTTATGGACAGTTGTTTGCAAACTTTGAAAGTTGAAGGATGTGGGTTGAGAATGGGTGAGTCAACGGTCAAATGCCTTTTGTACGCCGATGATCAAGTCATATTTGCATCGTCGGCGGCCGAGTTGCAAATGATGGTTACTTTAATGAATCGGTCATTGAAAGAAAGGGGTATGAAAGTGAACGCAAGTAAGACGAAAGTGATGGTTTTTGAAAGAGAAGAAAGTAAAACTTTATGTGAAATAAGAATAGAAGGGGAGTTGATTGAGCAAGTGGATGAGTATGTATATTTGGGATGTTTATTTAGCAGGGATGGTAGATATGATAAGGATATAGAACGACGAGTGAACGCAGGAAATAGAGTGAATGGTGCTCTACACGCTATTATGAGGTGTCAGACTGTGTCAACTAAGGCACGTATGGCAATTCATAATGCTGTGTTAGTCCCTACTTTAATGTATGGTAGTGAAAGTTGGGTCTGGCAGAAGAAGCATGAGAATGAGAGTAGAATAAATGCTGTAGAAATGCGTTCCTTAAGGTGGCACAAGTCGCGGGCTCGAACTCGCTGGTGGGCGCGGCCAAAAAGCACGCTGTCTCACCTGGCATCGTGCCCGACAGAGATAGTATCAGTGATGAGCATATCGACACTAGTATTCACGCACGTCTTGTTCGTACGGCATTCAGAACCGTTTGAACAAAAACGAAGTTACACGAACACGATGCAACATTTATACTAATATAATAAAGCAGAAAATATAGATCTTTACTCCGTCTAAAAAAAAGTCCGCGATACCATATGTCTATTTTTTATATACTCGTATAAGCCACAATTAGGCATTTTTATTTTGACAAAAAAAAAATGAAAATTTAATTATTAGGCATGGCATATTTATCCTTACGAACGAAAGTTACTTCATTATCAAGACAATTTTTTGAAGATAAACTTCGTTGTTTATGCCATGTTTATATAGTACATAGTTGAGATAATGTAAAATTAAAATAATTCAATACTTGGCCTTGACGCGCAAACAACGCATAACCCCTAGCCCGGTGCGAACTGAGAAGCCAGTATTGAAAGCTTCTATGAGCGAGGTTAGGTTAGCCGTTAGTTCAATCATTATCTATATCTACACAAATAAATAAAATTGAAGTGTCTGTTATAATGTCAAAATAACAGCTTTTTACTAATTGCATATGAAATTATATACGCTACTTATAACACAATTTTTAACATTTTTCTGTCTGTCTGTCTGTTTGTTCCGGTTAATTTCCAAAACGGCTGGACCGATTTTGACGGGACTTTCACTAGTAGATAGCTCATGTTATAAGTAGTAACTTAGAATGCTTAAATTTTAGAAAAATTATTAGGCGTCCGTGCAACAAAATTAACACCCTAAACTAAATGCGGACGAAGTCGCGGGGAACAGCTGGTAGCTAAAATAAATTCAAAATTAATTGAGTGCTTTTATCTATCTCCCAGGTGAGCGTAACAATGATTAGTTAATTCTGAACTCTTTCATTTCACGTTGCTATGGTATTTTGAAAGTTTAATTGATTAATAAGTTTTTATTTTATTTATTTCTTTAAAAAAAAGACGTTACCCCCACACTAGGATTTTCTCGTGTATCGTGGAGGCAGTTTACAAACACAAATTGCACAAGGACAAACATCCAGACCCGGAACAATTATTTGTAGGCCATACAAATACAAATACTTGATCCGTGCGGGATTCGAACCCGCGGCCCCCTGCTCAGCAACTCATTGCTAAGACACTGCGCCACGGAGCCGTATAAGAGTATAAGAGGTTGATAGCAAATGTATCAAGAATCATTTCTTGCCTACACACTTTTCATGTATCGTGTACGTTTTTCTTTAAAACTGAATAAAACCGCGCATAGTATGCCGACAGATAAAATAAAAGTACTTCATTAATTATGACAATTTTTCCATACATTATTATCAAATAAAATATTTGATTGCAATTATAAAACTAGGTGTCATGTCATGCCATGCATCTCGGACACATGATGACGCGGGTGAAACCGCGAAATGATTAGGCGCTGCTTTATCGCTTCATATTATACCTCTGTGGCTCTATATACCTAATATAGATTGCTTATTTTATTATGTTTAGTTTTTCCGAGTGGTTATGCAGCGATCACTCAAGAGTTCGGCTTCGAACGTGTGTAACTGCAAAAATTATCCCACGGGAACGAAATATTTTATATTACTGGGAGCCGCGGGTTCGAATCCCGCACGGAACAAGTATTTGTATGGCCTACAAATAATTCTTCCGGGTCTGGATGTTTGTCCTTGTGCAATTTATGTTTGTAAACTGCCTCCACGATACAGGAGAAACTCCTAGTGTGGGTGTAACGTTTTTTAAATAAGAAAAAAAAATTTGTATGGCCTACAAATAGTTGTTCCGGGTCTGGATGTTTGTAAACTGCTTCCACTATACAGGAGAAAATGCTAGTGCGGGGGTAATGTATTTTTAAAAAATAAAATAAAATAAAATTCCAGACTATAACCTATCTCTGAGCAAAATATCATCCAGGTCCCTTCAGCGGTTCTGGCGTGATTGAATAACATACATCCTTTCATTCGTCCATCCAAATATCCAAACTTTCGCATTTATAATATTTAGATAATAATTGTAATTAGTTCTGCTTACCTATAAATTTTTTTCAAAAATACTTACCTGTCTTCTTACTTTTTTTTATATATACTCAATATCACTAAACGTAAACACAGGTTTTTATCAAGACAAGTGACCCATCAAGATTGTTTTCTTAGTACTGACGTACCTACCTAAAGTTTACAATTTTGTGGCCACGACGCGGTGACGTTTTGTGACATTTTGTTGTATTGTAGGTTGTAGGTATCTAGGTAATAACAGTAGGTACCTATGAAAATCCCACATAATATACCTTGTTTGTCCGCCGCAAGAGTCGTCTAATAAATAATTAAACTGTTTTGTAATTCTTTATTTATTTATAACACTTGCATTGAGAGCCGTGGTAGCTCAGATGGTTATCGTTCGCCGTAAGTATCACACTACGCGAGCAACCCGGGTTCGATCCCCGTCGGCACCAATGAAATTGTTGCAATTTTATATAGTAATCGTATATTATAGACTTAATTTTTTTTCTTTTATAATTATATTATATTACAGACGAAAATTGAAATAAAAAACAAAATTGTCTGTCGTCCAAAACGCATCATCTCTTTCAATTATATCAATTTCCATGCTGTCTTTTGTCTTTGGCGTCCAAATTACAAAATAGCAAAACTTTTCGTTTCGAATAAAACTCGAATAAGCCCGCGTCACCGCCCGTGCATGTGTGTGTAAGCGTCGTCCTCCCGCACCGCACCGGGGCAAACATTATTCAGTGAGATGCACGATAATTCATAGTAACATACGCGCGTAAAAAAATACGAAAAGGCCTTTGGAAGAAGGGGTTTTATGAAAAAACCACTGCATAAATTAATTACGAATAAAATTTCTTGAATTCTTCGATAATTGAGCTGTGTCGGTACCGACTTTGTTTTGGAAATTTCACACTTCTTTTATTACTAATTTACGCCCAAAGTTGTGTTAAAATTGGCAATAAAAACGAATCTTTGGTAGCTCGTAACTTTTTAATAACATTTTATTTTACTATTCTGTTTCCGTACAGACAAATTTGATAATGAGACAAAACGATATCATGTTTAACTTTGGATGTACACTGTCAAACAGCGTAGTAAAACCCCTCCGAAATTTGTATGGAAATCAATGGAAATATTGTCGACTAGTGTCACCTTAAGGAGTATGCTATGGCTGAATCTGAATGACAGGGTGAGAAATAGTGTGATAAGAGATAAGTGTGGTTTGCAAGATGACGTTGTGACAAGGATTAAGAAAGGAATGCTTCGGTGGTTTGGTCATGTGGAAAGAATGAACGAGGAAAGAGTGACAAAGCAAATTTATGTGGCAGAAGGGAACGGCAGGGTCGGGAAAGGACGCCCTAGATGAAGGTTTATTGACCAAATCGGCGATACATTAAAAATGGGCCAGATTAGGAGTACCCTTAACCGACGAGCGTGTATGCGTAGATATATGGATGTAAAAGAGGCGAGAGAGATGTGTCAGGATCGCGCCAAATGGAAGTCCGTAGTCTCTGCCTACCCCTCTGGGTGACAGGCGTGAGTGTTTATGTATATTATGTATTAAGATTCATAGGTTAAGAAAAACGTTTTGACAGATTAGACAAGATTTACTTATTTTGAAAAAGCTCATTATGATTAAGTTAATTTTCAGGGATGATGATACCTGTCTAGATGAACTTGGAAAGTTGAACATTATCTATATATAAAATTTCTTCCGAATCGTTAGAGCCGATTACCAGAAAACAGTTACATATAAAAATGGTGATGACTCGTTTTAAACTCGCTTTCCACTATGGGATTTAATGTAATTTATATTACATCTCATACCTACTATAAATTAATATTATTTTGATCGGCCGAGCGATATTTACCTATTATATTCCTCCCATACCCCACACACCGTTCCGCGCCGCCGCTACGTCCTCAAGTTCGTGGCTGTCAATAAGTAGTCCAGTCAAATAAGGTCTCAAATCAAAATGTTGACACTCGACTTTGCATTTTTGATATAATGTAGTATTAATGATACAAAACCAACGTGTAAAGGTTTTCGTGTCCGGAACCCGGCAAGGCTTAAAAAAATTGTCAAAAGTGTTTTTTCGCAATTACTCGAAAACGGTAAAAATTAGATAAAAAAGTTCTTATAACAATGTGTAGAGCTTAAAATTTTACATAAAAAAGATTAAATGTTTTTTTTTCCCTCCGGTCAAATTTAAACGAGTTAGGGAGATTTTAAGTTTAAGGGATGAACGTAAATTTTAAAAAATCTTAGGGAGTAGAAATTAAGCGAATTTTCTAAAAAAAAATATTGTTAACAAAGTATAACAATTATAAATTTTCAAATTGAAATTACAATGCTTAAAAATTAATGAATTATTTATTTTTTGCCATATTTAGATTACTCATAAAATTTCCTAAATTTACGATTGAAGAAAGCTTTTCTTGGTATATTTCGGCAGGTGTGAATTTATACAGGTATAAAACCTTTTTTAAATCCTACGCCGTTGTATTAAGTCCGAGTTAAAAAGAGAGGACTATTGCTTACTCGTATACTACTATACGAGGTCCGAGTAAGAGTGAGAAGGCTGCATCGGAAACCAGGAAGTAATTTCTTTTAAATTTTTTTTTAACATTAATATTTCTTAAAAATATATGAGGTCCGAGTAAGAGTGAGAAGGCATCATCGGAAACCAGGAAGTAATTTTTTTAAATATTTTTTTAACATTAATATTTCTTAAAAATATGTTGAAGATTTTTTTAGTGTACCGACGGGAGTAAATATATTATATCAATTCTAAATTTCATGATTCGTTAAAATTAACTTGACATGTTGGGATTGATTTTGACACTTAACATTTTTTATAAACATTTGGCTTACAAATTATAAAAACAATCATCCCGTCAAGTCAAGTTACTTTTTGAATTTCGCAACTTGGAATCGACCCAGATATATAATTAATACAAGTCTTCAAAGTTTTCTTGAATTAAATCAATTCAAAATCCTGATTTAATTTTAATTTTTAATTTTTAAGGGGTGTTATAGTAAAATTTTCCTTGTATTATTTAATTTATTCAAAGATAAAAGTAAATAAATAAATATACATAAATTTTAAAGTTTACAAATTATGTGAACTTCACAAGTAGACTAGCAGAATTTGCCGCTTTTAGAATGTGATTACTAAAAATATAATTGGTGTAAAAGAAATAGTAAAAAGTTTATTCATTAATTACCAAAAGTAAAATATATGCAAAACTATATTTTCGACATTTACAATGTTAGAAACATGAGCATGTTCATTTTTTTAAATACTGATCAAATTCCATTTCTGTTTCATTAGATGGATTCAATGAATCCCTTGGTTGATTCATCTAGTTCAGAAAATGTTTAATTTCCAGTCCTTATTTCTTCTTCTTCTCGATAATATTCCCTTTCATCATCATCATCATTATCATTCAATGGATTATCATCTACTAAAACTATTTGCGTTGTTGATGCGTTTTCGCAACTTTGGCCATGGCAACTTTTGCAAAATTGGTTACTTTTCAAACAGCTTTTCTTACAGCTACGTCTAGCTGATGTGCAGTTAGTTGTGCAACCGCAAAACACCTAAAAATTAATTTATATATAATTTAATAAGTAATATAATTTAATTTCTAATATATAATTTAATAATTACATGTTCTAACATGTAATTATTAAACGAATAAGAAAGAAAAGTAATAAATATTAACCTAAGTGTACATACTTTTTCAATAAAATTCCTGTGGTGCTGGATCTGAAGTTGACATAATAGGCAGCATCATAAGTAATGTATTTCTCCATCCCCGTTCTTCAGGGTTCAAAGTATTGCCCAACCATATTTAAATCTGGTAATATACACGTTTTGTGTGTTCACGCTATGATGATTCTGCTGGTGGTAGAGAAGCTAATACAACTTGTTTTTTTTAAATGCAGCTGCTGATGCTATAAACAAATTGTATCTTAAATCATCAAACACTTTTAATTATCAGCATCACCATGGCCGTACAGATGTAAAATTATTCTTTCGTCAACTTCATATTATGTTCAACTGAGCTATTTTGTTCGTAAAAAGTGTTGTCAATTGTTGTAGCTCCGGTTTTTTCTTTAATAAAGAGATGAAGATTTTTTTCCCTTTTTTAAAGATAGCGCTTGTTGTGTCGCAGCCGGCAAAACTCGCACTCGGTTAAATTTGACCGGAGGGAAAAAATCTTTAAAGCTTTTTTATGTAAAATTTTAAGCTTTAGTCATTGTTATAAAAAAAAAATTGTCTAATTTTTACCGTTTTCGAGTAATTGCGTAAAAACACGAGAATTTTTTTTAAACCTTGCCGGGCGTTCTGGATACGAAAACCTTTACACATTGGTTTTGTATCTTTAATACTACATTATATCAAAAATGCAAAGTTGAGTGTCAACATTTTGATTTCAGACCTTATTTGACTGGATAATGAGATATGAGTGAACTTGTGCGTAGTACTCATTTGTATTCGTACAATTCATTAAAACTTATGATTTGATATCCAGTATCGACGCTCCCTATTTTACTTAAAAGTAACACACGTAAATCGAATTCTGCATCATCTTCCTCTGATGAACTGACAAGGTTATCTAGCAAAACAATATCCATTTTGTTTGAAAGAAAATTTTGTTTGTAAACGACGTGTGCGGTGTGATGCGATTTGCTTCGTGATCCGAACGCACACTGATTAAAAGATAATATCTCATAGTGTAAAAGCCAATCTCGGGATATAATATATTATATTATATCCCATAGTGAAAAGCGAGCTTTAACTGTGGTTTTAGTCAGTAGTTGAGGTCTACCTCTGACTACTAAACCATTCCGCACGCGGAGTGGTTAACGGAAATATTAATAATATTAATAGCGTTATTAGTATTATTTTAGTGTAAGAAAAGAAAAATATTATAGGTAAGCATCATCGATCACTAATAAAATACTAGATACACAAACAGTGACAAAAAAATGTCCTTACCAAATGAGCGCCCACCGAACATTTGGGTGCGCTTTTAATTTGTACGTAGCTTTGTGAATACAACTTTAGACAATGCGTTTAAGGTGGAATTTACATTAATGTACTTATATTTATTACAAGTAGAATTACGTCAAAACAATTGGACGTGGTTTTGCAAAAAGGATCCAACCCTAAAGAAGAAAGCTAATTTGAGGTTATGAAATTTGAAGAATGGATCTGTATGGTTTATGGGTGTGTTTGTTATTTTTCTTCTTATTTATGTTAATTTCGCTAAAATTGTTGCATCACATAATAGTATAACCACAAACATTATTATTCAACTGAACATTTTTGATACAAATTACATTGGATCCTTTTTGCGTAACTATGTCCAATTGGCGACAGTTTTTAAAGAACTTTTGCTTTTGTGTATCTACTTTTTTTATTAGTGGTCGATGGTAAGCATATTATAGCGTAAGGTAGTCCAGATTTGGTAAGCTCAAAGCGAATCGCTCTCAACCATATTCGGATCTATTAATCAGATGGTTGTAATGATTAAAATCTAATCCCCAGTTTAGAATTTATTTATTAATCATACACCAGTGGACGCTAGATCCTCGTTCGTTCGACAGCAGGACGCACTACACCACGTGCTATTGAAATTGACATTTAAAGAAGCAGATTGCATTCATCCTTAAAAAAAAATATAATTCCATTTTTTTTCAGTTGGATATGACGGATTTCTACGACGATGATTACGACGACCTCGACTCGGACTCGGACGAGGAAATCGAGGGGGGTGAGGGTGACGGCGACGACAGCGGCAACGGGGAGTCGTGAGACTGCGCCCCGGCCGCGCCCCCCTCCCCGCCCGCCCCGCACGCCCCGCCCGCGCCCGCCGCCAGCCCCCGCGTGCGCACCGCCAGCCAACGCAACGTACGTCAGCAGCCTTATGTTATCTGTAAACGATTGTAAATGAACTAATCCTTCACGTCATCGGATGTCTGTCACACGTTTTGACGACTTAAGTCAAGGCTCATGCCTTTATGCGTAGTAAAAGCTAGCAACAAAATAAATGCCTTGTTATTTGTGGGCGATTGAGGACGATGCTGCTATGTTAATTACCGTTTTGTTAAATTCGTGATTTAAACAAACGCATCATATTTTTAATGTTGATTAGATGATTAAATTAATTGGCTGAAATATTTGAAAAATAAAGATTGCTAGGGTCTTTGTAAATAATGAACGCTTTCAATTCTGACAATATCTCCACATGTATATATATATAAATATTGTTTTGGCATCAGTTTTAGTAGATATTTCAGTAGCAACATGTTTTATTGTTTGTTTTTTTCTATATGTTTCATCACAAACCTGAATAAGGTAACTTTATAGACTTATATTTTGTAACATGCAATCCACAACCCATTTAAATATTCTCAAATAACCAAATATCGAATCTCAATTAGTAAAATACTACACACGTGGTGAGACGTGCTTCATAATGGAATATTGTCCAATAAATTATTTTCCTCACAATATTAAACAAACGTAAAAATGATGTTCATATAATGGGGATTATAATTTAAGAGCTTTAATAACAGCATTTTCTAAGTTTAATAGCGTCTTTTTATTTCTTGATTTGTACCCACCTTTCCTTAGCATGAAATTGCTCATAAAAATGAATTATATTATATTAGTTTATAATTATCGCCTTTAAATTTTAAAAACCTTGTAATAATTATTGTATCTTTAGCAGTTTTATTCTTGTATCTTTTCAATAAATTTTGTTGTATTTTAAAAATGTATATTCATGCATTCAATTCACCATACTTGTTTTATTAGATTCCTTTGTATTCAGAGACAGAACTCAGGATTTTTATGATCAGGCTGCGAAATATGACAAATATAATATAAAGCATGTATATAGAAACAAGTTATTTTTATTATAATTTTAATACAGTCAATTCTGTCGCCATTAAAAATATTTTCGACTTATAAAGTGCACCAAATGTCCTCTTCTACACATAAAATCCGTCAATATCAATAAAAAAAAAGACAAAACATGGCTTAACTTTGTACTATCTTATGTTTTCTTTTTATTATTGCTATTAATGCTCTCACCTTCTTGTTAATGTTTGATGACGATATAATACACCAATTAACATACACCACTGTAAAGAATCTTTTCTAGTTTTCTCGTATCACGTCCCATATTTAATATCACACAAAAAAAAAATATTCAACAAAAGTCAATAAAAGAAATTATTAAAATCTCTTGTATCCTGTAATTGTTATTGTTGACTTTTATTATTTTTTTGTAACTTAGCGAGTAGAGACCGCGCGTAAAGGGAAATCATAACTGTGTTTTGTTTTGTCTAGAGTCCACGTGTGTATGACTATAGACAGCAATATTATGCGAATTAGAGGACGTGATTAGCACAGAAATTTTACATTTGTTTCGTTAATGGCAAGATTTATGCTATTAAAATGATTAATAAAGGCTTCATTTTACCAAGCTTTGAAATTAAAATATTAGGTGTAATAAATCATAATGATTTACTCTCTTTCTGTAGCAACTAGTTAAACGATATATCCATGTATATTATTATTTAATAAAGCAAACAATATATCAAAAAGTTGCTGCAGGATTGAAGCTACATGTTTCGATTTTTAAAATAATGCTTTATTTACTTTGTCATTGCAATAATAATATACTATAACAATGTACTGTAATAATAAAGTCAGCAACCAAGATATAATATTATGTATATTGAACATCACACTAGTAGGGAAAATGTATATAAAGTTGGTTGTAAGTTCATTGTGATCAATAACATACTGATATGTACAGAGATTTTATTGATTGTAACGTTAGAAGGTTCCAGAGTAGGTAGGCTCAAAATAGAAAAATTGTAAGTATGATTACTGAAAACTACATCATAATGTATGTTTCAATAAGACATGCATATATTTTTAGTAATACATATGTAAAAGAAATTATTTAAGTGTAATTTGTAAGTTTAACTTTTAGTGTGCACTGATTGTAGTACATTATGGTATAAATATGCAGTTAAGGCTAAGATGTACTGACTGGACCTTAAAATTCATATCTGCTTTTTATCACACTGTTGTGTTTGTATCCTTGATTGTACTTATGGCTTTCTTAATGTTCGGAAGAAAAATTATAGTAAAAAATAAAAAATAATATTAGAAAGTGTAACAACGAACAGTACTAAATAAAATAGTTATAGTACTTTATCATTTTTGCCACATTTGCTGGCTACTTTTACTACATCTTGCTTTTCTACTTAACATGTTTGAAAAATGATTGGCCCAAAATTGTTTAAAGGCAGAATTTACAAAATTCGTCCGAAACGTATCAGTTAATGTAGACCTAAGTTATAATAAATGGTTTGGAAATCTACTGTAGGAAGTTCGCGGAGACAATCTTCATTATGTAAAAATATTCAGTAATAAAGCATGTGTTCGGATGCGATAAATATTTTGTTTCCTCTTTCACACGACGACAAAGAAACTTTGGTCCTTTAAATTTTATTTTATTTTGTTTTATTTCACTTTATGAAAAAATGAAGTGACAAAGGAACTTTTGTAAGTGCCGCTACTGCAACCCATGGGCACCTGCAACCGACGTCAAACTATAAAGGCTACAGATGCGTTGTCATCTCTGAGAATGAACATAGAATGCCTCCACAGCCTGTAGTTTGTGGCTCTCAATACCCTTCACACCAAAACACAAATAGGCAAGAGGGATATATAAAAAAGTAGTAGTTAGTGACTGATCTGAAAACGATTTTTTACATTGGACGTGTCTTCCGATGTATCCATAAGAAAGATCTATCTTGGAATCAAAATTTATTATTATTATTTACTCTTTACATTCATTTGTAATTAAAGTTAATTTAGTTTTAACAAAATAATGATGATTTCATAGAATTATATGTGATATTTGATTCATATCAATGTTCCCATTTAATATTGATTGGCACCATAAAATAGATTTTGATATTTTTTCTACGTTCAAGTAGACTTCAAAATTTCATAAATGCAGTTCTATAATGATGTAATATTTTTTTTAATAAATAACGTTACATTTCAAATTTTATTTAAGCTGGTTGTACAACACATTTTTGGAAGAAAGTTCCATAAAAATTTGCTTAAAAGAACATATTGCTGATGTGAAGCACCGACGCTCCGAGAAGGAAATGGCTACAGATTCCTTGCTACAACAGGTCCCATCCGCAGAGATCGTAATCCTTGGCGATTTTAACGCCCACCACGCCGAATGGCTCGGTTCACGTTTAACCGATCATGCGGGGAGATCTGTTTATGACTTTGCCTTGGCATATGGTCTGATACAACTGGTTACTTCGCCTACGCGGATTCCAGATGTGGAGGATCATACACCTTCCCTGCTGGACCTTCTGCTGACCTCTCATCCGGACGGATATCAGGTTTCCGTCGATGCCCCTCTCGGCTCGTCGGACCATTGTCTGATCCGGAGTGTGGTGCCACTCACGCTATCCTCGCGGTTGCGTTCTGCAGGTTGCCGCCGTGTTTGGCATTACAGGTCGGCGGATTGGGGCGGAATGCGGTCTTTCTTTGCATCCTACCCATGGGTTTGCTTCTCGCCGGATGATCCCAGCGCCGTTGCTGACTCTGTCACTGATGTGGTGCTACAGGGAATGGAACTATTTATTCCATCATCTGTGGTACCCATCGGAGGCAGATCTCAGCCTTGGCTTGGTCGCTCCTGTAAGACTGCATTACGTAATAAGCAGGAGTGTTATCAAGCCTGGGCTGCGGCTTCGGCGACTCGGAATGTAAACACCAGCACACTTAAAAAGAAGTATAACTTCGCCTCCAGGTCCTTCAAAAGAGTTATTGCCAAGGCAAAGTCAGAGCACATAGGCAGAATTGGCGAGAAACTAGTTCGCCTTCCTTCGGAAACCCGTGCATTCTGGTCTCTCGCCAAGGTGATGAGGACGTGTGCTCCGAAGTTGGCACCGGTCCTAACGCGTCTTTTCCGGTACTCCTACTCCCAAGGCGTAGTCCCGAATTCATGGAAGACAGCTTTTGTCCACCCGATCCCTAAAAAAGGCGACCGCTCAGACTCATCCAACTACAGGCCTATCGCCATCACCTCCTTGTTCTCCAAAATAATGGAATCCATTATTAACTGCCAGCTCATGCGGTACCTTGAAGATCACCAGCTGATTAGTGACCGCCAATTCGGTTTTCGTCGGGGTCGATCAGCTGGTGATCTTCTGGTCTACCTGACCCATAGAAGGGCGGAGGCAGTAGAGTCCAAGGGGGTGGCGTTGGCCGTTAATTTGATGAGTCTGAGCCTTGCGAAGGCCTTCGATCGGGTTTGGCACATAGCGCTTCTTCCGAAGCTCCCTTCCTATGGGCTTCCCGAGAAATTGTGCAATTGGATCACCAGCTTCCTTGCAGATCGGAGCATCAAGGTCGTTGTAGACGGTGCATGCTCTGACTACAAGCCTATTAACGCTGGTGTTCCACAAGGCTGTGTGCTATCACCAACGCTGTTTCTTCTGCATATCAATGATATGTTGCTAACTGGTAACATTTATTGCTATGCGGATGACAGCACTGGTGATGCTCTATACACCGGCCTTGCCAATATTTCTCGGGAAAACGTCGCCGAGTACCGGAACAAACTTGTGTCTGAAGTCGAGTCTTTGCTAAACAAAGTTTAGGATTCGGGGGCGACTAAATCTAGTCCAGTTTAATCCTCAGAAGATACAAGTTTGCGCGTTTACCGCTAAAAAGAACCCCTTTGTCGTATCTCCTCAGTT